ACACGTGCATGCGCAGGTGTGCGCACAGAGACATTCGTCATATACACACACTCCAAGTACACACGTGCATGCGCAGGTGTGCGCACAGAGACATTCATGAGATACACACACTCCAAGTCCACACGTGCATGCGCAGGTGTGCGCACAGAGACATTCGTCATATACACACACTCCGAGTCGACATGTGCATGCACAGGTGTGCGCACAGAGATATTCATAAGATACACACACTCCAAGTCGACACGTGCGTGCGCATGTGCCCCCCAGAGACATTCATGAGATACAAACACACCAAGTCCACACGTGCATGCGCACACCTAGAGACATTCATGAGATACAAACACACCAAGTCCACACGTGCATGCGCAGGTGTGCGCACAGAGACATTCGTCACATACACACACACCAAGTCCACACGAGCATGCGCAGGTGTGCGCACAGAGACATTCATCATATACACACACTCCAAGTCCACACGTGCATACTGAATGTCTCTGTGCGCACCCCTGCGCACGCACGTGTGTGTATCTTATGAATGTCTCTTTGCGCTCCCCTGCGCTTATGAATGTCTCTTTGCGCTCCCCTGCGCACGCACGTGTGTGCATCTCATGAATGTCTCTATGCGCACCCCTGCGCACGCACGTGTGGACTTGGAGTGTGTGTATCTCATGAATGTCTCTGTGCGCACACCTGCGCGTCTCATGAATGTCTCTGTGCGCACCCCTGCGCACGCACGTGTGTGTATCTCATGAATGTCTCTGTGCGCACCCCTGCGCACGCACGTGTGGACTTGGAGTGTGTGTATCTCTTGAATGTGTCTGTGCGCACACCTGCGCGTCTCATGAATGTCTCTGTGCGCACACCTGCGCACGCACGTGTGTGTATCTCATGAATGTCTCTGTGCGCACCCCTGCGCACGCACGTGTGGACTTGGAGTGTGTGTATCTCTTGAATGTCTCTGTGCGCACACCTGCGCGTCTTATGAATGTCTCTGTGCGCACACCTGCGCACGCACGTGTCGACTTGGAGTGTGTCTATCTCATGAATGTCTCTGTGCGCACCCCTGCGCACCCACGTGTCTTCTTGGAGGAGTGTTTGTATATGATGACCGTCTGTGTGCGCACATCTGCGCACGCACGTGTGGACTTGGAGTGTTTGTATATGATGACTGTCTGTGTGCGCACCCCTGCGCACGCACATGTCCATGCGAACACCTGTGCATCTGCTGTAAATGATGAGTGTCTCTGTCCGCACACCTGCGCATGCACTTTTGGACTTGGAGTGGGTGTATGTAATGACTGACTCTGTGCGCACACCGGTGCATACACGTGTCGACTTGGAGTGTGTGTATATGATGTTTTTCTCTGTGCGAACACCTGCGCGACTTGGAGTGTGGGTATGTTGATGAAGTCTGTGTGCGCACACCTGCGCATGCAGGTGTTGGAGTGTGTATGTATGACCAATGTCTGTGTGCGCACCCCTGCGCATGCACGTGTCGACTTGGAGTGTGTGTATATGAGGAAGATCTGTATGCGCACTCCTGCTCATGCACGTGTCGACTTAAAGTGCGCACACCTGCGCATGCGCGTTTGGACTTGAATTGTGTGTCCATAATGAATGTCTGTGTGTGCACCCCTGCGCATAAACGTGTCGACTTGGAGTGTGTGTATATGAGAAAGATCTGTATGCGCACTCCTGCTCATGCACGTGTCGACTTGGAGTGCGCACACCTGCACATGCGCGTTGTGACTTTGAGTGTGTCTACATGAGGAATGTCTGTGTGCGCACCCCTGCGCATGCGCGTTTGGACATGAAGTGTGTGTCCATAATGAACGTGTATGTGCGCACCCCTGCGCATACACGTGTCGACTTGGAGTGCGTGTATATGATGAATGTCTCTGTGCGCACCCCTGCGCATACACGTGTGGACTTGGAGTGCGTGTATATGATGAATATCTGTGTGCACACCCCTGCACGTGCACGTGTCGACTTGGCGTAAGGGTGCGCAGGGCAGGCACACAGCGTCGCACACGCGCCACCCCAGCAGCAGCTTGAAGGCGGCGTGCGTGCGTGCGTGCTGCACCATGACTCCATACGTAGATACCGCCCATCCCCAGGCGGCCAGCCAATGCAGATCGCCCAGTCACACACAAACACGCCCTTAAAACAACCACGCACGGGGTGCTGGGGGTGTATGAGAGCGCACCGCCGCCCCAGCCTCCATGGCGGAGAGGGGCGGCAGGCGGCCGACCCGTAGACACCCTCAGTGCACGCCCATACACATATCACCGCTGGGAAAGGCAGAAGGGCGGCAAGACACACACACAGACCACGCCCACATCCACACTCACTGAGCACGATCTAACGTGCGATATCACGCGTTCCGAGACGCGGCGAGATGGGTCATCCCTCTGTCCCAGGGATCTGTCAGTGTTTCTGTGTGACACCTTCGTGGAGTGGACCTCCGCATCGTCTGTCATCGTTTTTCTGTGTTGTCCTGACATCGTTTTGTGGTGCTGATGTCGGAACCGAGTGTTTCTGCTGCGGACGTCCAAGCAGCAGCTGCTGCTGCGCGTGAGTCTATCGCGGTGGAGCGAGAGCCGCCTGCCCTGCTACAAGCCGAGAGCGTGTGTGACCGGATTGATGCTCTCGAGTCAGAGGTCGATATTCTCCGCCAGGCTGTCGAGTCGTTGGCCAAGCAGTCACCCGTCACCCACCCTCTTCCAGACTCCCCCCTCGCCAGATTCCGCTCGTCGGAGGTCACTGACGTCGTCCTCGAGGTCCTGCAGGAGCACGGCTTCGCCAGCCGCAAGCTGGAGTTCAAGGCGGAGCAGGGAGGGCAGATGACGGCGGGCAGGGCTGTGTTCGACGTGTCCAAGATCGATGAGCCGCATGCTGAGCGTCTCTTCCGCGCCATTCACGCCAAGTACGGCGACTCCATGGACGACAAGCAGGCGGCCAGGCAGTGTCGTGACGTGTGGGACAAGACCAAGGACGTGGCCGCGGCGATGAAGCGCTCTTGGCTGGACGTCTACGACAGGGCAGGGCGGTATGTGCTGTTCGGCGGGGTGATCAGGCGGCTGGGCCAGGATGTGTTTGCTGAGGTGGATCAGGACATCTTGCTGGCCCTCCTGCCTCGCCTCCTCATTCATTAGGACAGGTTCGACGGAAGAGGGCAAGCCGGGAAGGGAGGGAGTATCGCGGTGGTGACGCTTTGGGGCCGGTGGTGGCGCTTTGGGGCCGGTGTGTGCGTGTGTGTGTGTGTGTGTGTTGGGGGAGTGGAGCTGGAGTGTGCGTATATGACGAATGTCTCTATGCGCACACCTGCGCATGCACGTTTGGAGTTGGAGTATGTGTATATGACGAATGTCTCTATGCGCACACCTGCGCGTTGGAGTATGTGTATATGACGAATGTCTCTATGCGCACACCTGCGCATGCACGTTTGGAGTTGGAGTGTGTGTATATGATGAATGTCTCTATGCGCACACCTGCGCGTTGGAGTATGTGTATATGACGAATGTCTCTATGCGCACACCTGCGCATGCACGTTTGGAGTGTGTGAATACGATGAATGTCTCTATGCGCACACCTGCGCATGCACGTTTGGAGTTGGAGTGTGTGAATATGATGAATGTCTCTATGCGCACACCTGCGCATGCGCACACCTGCCTGTGCGCACACCTGCGCATGCACGTTTGGACTTGGAGTATGTGTATATGATGAATGTCTATGTGCGCACACCTGCGCATGCACGTTTGGAGTTGGAGTATGTGTATATGACGAATGTCTATGTGCGCACACCTGCACATGCACCCGTCGACTTGGAGTGTGTATATATGATGAATGTCTGTGTGCGCATACCTGCGCATGCACGTTTGGACTTGGAGTGTGCGTATATGAGTATATGACGAATGTCTCTATGCGCACACCTGCGCATGCACGTATGGAGTTGGAGTCTGCGTATATGACGAATGTCTCTATGCGCACACCTGCGCATGCACGTTTGGACTTGGAGTATGTGTATATGACGAATGTCTATGTGCGCACATCTGCGCATGCACCCGTCGACTTGGAGTGTGTATATATGATGAATGTCTGTGTGCGCATACCTGCGCATGCACGTTTGGAGTTGGAGTATGTGTATATGACGAATGTCTCTATGTGCGCACACCTGCGCATGCACGTTTGGACTTGGAGTGTGCGTATATGACGAATGTCTCTATCCACGTTTGGAGTTGGAGTGTGTGTATATGATGAATGTCTCTATGCGCACACCTGTGCATACACGTTTAAAGTTGGAATGTGTGCATACGATGAATGTCTGTGTGCGCACACTTGCGCATGCATGTTTGGACTTGGAGTGTGCGTATATGACGAATGTCTATGTGCGCACACCTGTGCATGCATGTTTGGACTTGGAGTATGTGTATATGACGAATGTCTCTATGCACGTTTGGACCTGGAGTGTGTGTATGTGATGAATGTCTGTTTGCACGTTTGGACGTGGAGTGTGGGTATATGACGAATATATGAGTGCGCACATCTGCACATGCACGTGTCGATGTTAAGTGTGTATATGTGATGAATGTGTTTGTGCGCACACCTGCGCATGCACGTTTGGACGTGGAGTGTGTCTATATCATACTTATTTGGACGCGGAGTGTGTGTATATAATGAATGTCTGTGTACGCACACCTGCGCATGCACGTTTGGACCTGGAGTGTGTGTATGTGATGAATGTGTTTGTGCACGTTTGGACGTGGAGTGTGTGTATATAATGAATGTCTCTGTGCACACACCTGCGCATGCACGTGTCGACTTGGAGTGCGTGTATGTGATGAATGTGTTTGCTGCCGTCTTTGCAGCCCCTCGCGTCACTCGGATGGCTAGACCTCAGCTACAATCGCATCGAAGGCTTCGGCTGCAATGGATTCCTTCCGGAGACGCAAATGAAGAGATGTGAGACAAATACGAGTGTGTTTGAGGCACGTCTGACCTTGCCTGGTTTTAGCGTGGAGCATGTCAATCTTCACAGCAACGCTCTTCAGACTATCCCAAAAGCCTGGTCTCGCCTGGCTGCCGTGAAGAGCATACAATTAAACGACACCAATATTGGTTCGCACAGGTGGCCAGGGTAGTTTCAGACGCCGAATATATGTGCCGGCTCTATGTGTAGATATGCATGCCATCTGTCTTTCTCGTTTATTCCTCCTTTCTCTTCTTTTACCGGAATTCTCTGAACCTGACGAATTCGTTGCACACACAGGCAAATACGTCGATGAGGCCATCCAGAGTCGGACGCAGTGAAGGCAATAAGCGGGGAGCTCCCTAGTTTGACGGGGCGTTGTTACCGAATAATTGCAGAGGGACGCTGTCAAAGAGTACTTGAGGGTGCAACGGTATGCTTTGTACTCCAGTGTAAACAAGGGGCGACGAATGTCGATAAAAGCACGCATGCCAGCGGTAGAGCACTAGCAACGCAACCATACGATACAGACACGCAACAAAGACACACCAGATACCCATGCATGCACACAGCATGAAACTGCATGCATACGATATGAAGCGACACGCGGGCGCACCAACCAGAGGGGGGACTTGTGTGAGGCCTACAGGCGCCTCGGCTGATGAAGTCCTCTGGAAAGGAGCCTTTTTTTTCGGGGTCCTCCGGTAGATGCGACACGCTTCACGCGGCTAGCCACGTGGAACGCGTTGTGCTTTACCAGCTGTACGGGCAGGAGCCGGCCCCGACGGTTGATGATATTTTCACTGGACAATGTGCATTCAGCGGCGGGGATGGCCAAGGGGCGGGCCTTCCTCTTGGCGAGCTTCCTGACGAATTCAATCGCTTGCTGCCCCCAGCGGCCAAATGTCTTCGCAGCGAGACGGACGAAACGTAGGCCGGCGATCTTTTCTACTTTACATAGGCGCTGAGCGCCTCTTCGGGGGCTGGCACCCTCTTTCCCAGTGAGGACCAAAGGTGGATCTCACCGGCTCGAACTCGAGTGTTTGCTCGCTTGCCCGGCTGCTTGCGTTGTGCCTGTCTATGACAGGGAGAACTTCGGCGCGTGCCTGTTGAATTCTTGGCTGTGTATGGTTTGCTTGCTCGCCTCGTCAGTCAAAGAACGTCACTTCTCAGTGCAAAGATGCATACTGTAGGCCGTCTCCCCATCCTACACCTCTGTGGGACCGTCGGCCGCGCTATGGGCGCTCTCTATTTTCGTGTATGTTGCGTGTATCTATGGGTGCGACTCGCGAGGCTGTATGGACCGTGCTTTTGTGTGTGCCGGCTTTGCATGGTTGCTTGCCTGTTACGCGCTGCCTGTGATTATGCATCTGCTGCGGCATGCCCTCGTATGAAACTCAAGACGATCACTCGTGGCCCCTCGTTTACCCAAAGATCTCATGGAGGTCGAGTGACACACACATTCATCACATACACACATGCCGACTTGGAGTGTGTGTATATGATGAATGCCTCTGTGCGCACCCCTGCGCATGCACGTGTCAACTTGGAGTATGTGTATATGATGAACGTCTGTATGCGCACACCTGCGCATGCACGTGCGCATGCACGGGTGGACTCGGAGTGCGTGTATATGATGAATCTCTGTGTACATGATGAATATCTGTGTGCGCACACCTGCGTCATGACATGTCTCCTCACCTCATTAAAAATGTCGACATCGATCGAGGTCATGGTTTGAATGGCCGAAGCGCTCAATTTGATGTGCTCGCTGACCGCCCATTCAGACCAGCCGACGCAGAGAGACGATTGATCAGACTGTGAAAGTGGGTCTGGGTTTGGGCCACGGTGACAGCGGCCCAGTCGACTAGGATCGGTGACTTTGGTGCTCTATCAGTATCAGTACACCCTCAGCTGCCGCAGTGTGCCTGTCTGTCGCAGTGGCTGTGTGGCTATGCTGTCCATGTGGGTGGTGCCTCAGTGGGCGACAGGAGGATGTGTGTATGTGTGAGGCCCAAAGAGAGTGACCGAGTGGAGATATCCCTGTGTCGAGGTGTACGTTTGCTTGTGTGCCGCTGGGCCTCTTCAGCGACTGCTTAACGACTGTGAGCGGCTGTCCGTGGCCTCTCCGCCTGAATGAATGCTACCCACCGGTGGGCTGGATGGAGATGTCACAAAATATTCCTACTCGTGGGTGATTACTGGCAAAACACTGCTTAGTCGAAGCCCTCCTTAGTCTGGCTCGCTGTCCGTCTGTGCGTGATTTCACGCACACAGAACGCAAACACAGTCAGTCTCCACCGATCGACGCACGTGCCACTAGCAAATTACTATCACACATCACCATAGCCACACGCTCACACACGTGTGCGTCAAAATCTCCAATGGATGCAGTGGATCCAGACAGACAGACAGACAGACAGACGGTATCCACGGCCGTCACCCACAGCAGAGAGAGCAGAAAAGTCAGTCAGGCACGTACCATTTACCACCGACAAACGGCACGGACAACGGAAAGAAAGAAAGAAAGAAAGAGACCTACCTACTGGTTGGGCATGCACATGAATGGATCCGATCGACAGACAGACAGACAGACAGACAGCCGCGTGTGTGGTTCGTACGTGCATGGAGACACACACTGCTTTGCCACGATTAAATGAATAAAATTCCATGGCCACACATAAATGGATGGCCTCACCTGGCGATGGATCTCTTCACAAGGCGGCCAGATAGCACTCGTCGGCAGCCTCGCCGAAGCCATCCATCGCCGCGTGCAGAGGCGTCCCCTCGCCGATCACACATCTGATGTCGTCATCCAGACGCTTGCCAGGTCGCCTTGCTTTGCCGACCGTCGGCTCGTGGAGGGCTCCAAGGCGCTTCAGCAGCATGACAAGGGACTGACGAACACTCTCGTGCGTCAGGCAATGCCTGTTATGGCCGGAGATATCACACACGCATCTGGTGTGAGTCTCTGTGTGCGTGTCTGCTGCCGTGCGTACCATCCGATCTTGTGCATCGCTGCCGCCAGCCTCCTCGCGACGTCGTCATGTCTCCTGAACCACTGGATCTTCTCATAGAGGTCTGTCGCGTCAGTGAAGCGCACGATCAGGTTTCGCCGCTTCAGAGGGGCATCGAAGAATTGTGTGGCTGCAAAGCTGCGTGGCGGCTCGAATATCACCGAGCCGCTGAGCAGCAGCATTCGCAACCTGTGGCTCCAGGGCCCGTAGCCAGGCAGGTCCAGGTGGTACTTTGTTGAAAGCATCAGCTCCACAAACTCCTCGGCAAGAGTCTTGTTCCGCCGACAGATGTGAGAGGCGGAACATCCCAGCTCTCTGCACACATGGACACAAAAGCCAAAGACCGACACGGGTCAGCAGGCCGATAGATACACCTGCATGTTTCTCTGCCCAAGTGAGGGTCAACTCACCGCTCCAATTCGCGGGCTGTGTCGGTGCAGTTGACAGGTTGTCTCATTCTGACGTCAGCACCAGCAATGAAGACGTGCTGAAACAGCTCCGGGTCCATCATACTGAGCTCGCAAGCCAGCTGCACCCGGCTGTCGTCTGTGTTGAGGCCGATGAAGAAGGCCTCGTTTTTCTTCTTTGCCCACTCGGCGGCGAAGAGCGCCTCTGAGAACCTGGGGTGTCCATCCCCATCGTCAGCGGTGTAATAGAGGTCCTTGACAATCTCACGTGTCATGGTCTCGTCGTTTTCGTGGAACCAGACACCGGGAATGTCCCAGGTGTACTCCGTGAACGACGACTCGCTCAGCACCAGGGCGGGAGGCCCTTTTCGCTTGTACTGAGGTCTGGCGCGCTCACACGGCTCCTGGCTGCCGGGCCCAATGTAATCTCCGCCAACCGGCACCTTCGAACGCCTGCAGACAACACACGGACGGGACGTGTCAAGATGGGGAACCTGTCTGTCAATATCAGTCCCACTGACCAGAAGTTGGGGCAGTCCTCGACTGGTATCGAAAAGGCCGCGTCCCCCAAGTTGACGCTGTTGTTGGCCGCCCAATCAACGGCATCCGCGAGAGAGCGGGCCACGCGCCGCGCGTTTATCCGTTCCACTGCGAATCTCCCGTTGGGAGGAGTCTCGAGGGGCTGGCAGTCCTTGATAGAGTGGCAGACCAGCGCGCCGTTGGTAATGCTCAGCCGAAGGGGCAAACGATTGTGGTACGGCAGCCGCACAGCGCCCTTGAGTCGAACGCCTCGGTTGGCGAGGAGCGTCACCTCCTCTGAGGTCCACGGCTTATGCTTCTCCAGTGCGATAAGGGTTGGGTTCTCGTCGAGAATCTCATCCCAGTATCTCTCGCAGTGATTCGTTAGCAGGCCGGCATCGGTGTCGTCGTTGATGGCACTCAAGAAGCCATCCAGAGCCTTCAAATCGATGGGAGGCTGCACACCGGGGAGCGCGTCAATGCCGCTTCCCCCATCGCCAATATCGGCTGGTGTCTTGGCCAAGAATGGGCAGCCCTCTCGTGACTCTGCAGCTGTGCGCCCCAGTGTCAGCTGCTCAATATAGTCTCGGACAGGCGAAGAGAGCAAAGAATACGAGGGCGGAGCGGCTTTGTTCTCCACACGCGAGAACTCCCTGGGGATGAAGACACCGACGAAGGCGACGGTCGTGAACCCCAAGCAGACGCCCACCAGGGCGCGCAGGGCAATACCCATGCGGAGGAAAACATATGCATACTTCTTCCACACACGTCGTGAAATGAAGCTGGCCGTTAGGAATTAGGGGATGCATGAAACTCATCGACGTATCTGGTGTTCGCTTCCGCATGACTTTCCTGCGTGACACACACACACTGTGATGTATCGATGAGTCTTCCGACCCAGACAAAACGAAAAAACCATTCTTGACGATCACGTCATGACGAAGACATGATCGTCTGTGACTGTCGGCCTCGTCTTCCTTTCCGCCCGTCCGTACAATACATACGCAGCGCATGGATGTCCAGCACACAGGGAGCAGACGAGGGCAGCTAGCGAGCAGATTTGTCTTTGTATGATGCCATTCACCAAACAACGTGTCTCTGCCAATTTCCAGTGAGTAGAGTCCTGCCTGCACCAGTGCATGCGTAAACATTAAGAACCGCAGCTCAACTCCCCGCTTACCGCTACGCAAAAAGAAAAAGGAGACATTTGCAGACTCTCTCTCGAGGCACACCAAACGCTCGAGGCCTCAGTCGGATCGGTTCAATCGTGTGCCCTTGGCGTCAGCAGCAGCGTGATGCCGTCTGCACTCCGCAGCGTCACTCGCACCTCATATCGCGGCGCAAAGTCTGACGGCACGGCCAAATGGAAGTCCTGGATGAAGTGCGCAAGGAGGAAGACGCCTTCGACGTAGGCCAGCCGCTTGCCGATGCATATCCTGGATGGATGATGTCACACACATGAAGAGTACATGCGTCGTTGTGGTCAATACCTTTGGCCAAAGCCGAAAGGGAAGTAGTTGTCCAGGTCGGCCAAATCGGGGCGTTGCATCCTGAGAGGCATTCACACACACACACACACACACACACAGAGAGAGAGAGAGAGAGACACTCGCACACACACAGGAGCACATTTGCTCGTTTCCTTTTTTGCCCTGTCTGTTTTGTCGCACGCACCTTTCTGGTTTGAATTTCTTGGCATCGGGCCCCCACAGCTCGGTGTTCCAGGCAAGCGCCTGCTGGTTGAACAGAATGCGGGACCCTGCAGTAAGACGATACTTGCCGCCCAGCACAACATCCTCAGACGCCTGCAACGGAACAGTAGCATGGCAGACCTGTAAGCCAAAGCAGCGAAGTGCATGTACCTCTCGCGGAAATATGGGGGCGGTGGGGTGCAGGCGCAGAGCCTCTTGGAATGTCTGTGTTGGGAAGAGAGACGTACAAATGAATGATGTGTGGCTGCTGGGTGCTTCGTTGTCAAGACCATGTATGTGTAGGGCAGCTTGTCTTTCACTTCTATCAGCGATAGCGACTTGAGATCCACATTCTTGACCTGTATGCGCAGATGCAACACACTCGGTGCACCTATCTCGTGGCCACGTGTGCATCTCCTGACTGACCTCTTTGTAGACCTTGTCTTGGACATCTGGGTTGCCCGCCAACTCATACAAGGCCCACGACGTGTCAGGGCAGTCGTCTCATGACCTGAGAACAGCAACAACACCACCACCAGGCCTGCCTCTGTTCCTCCCTCCCTCCCAACGACCGACTCACCGGCAAGCATCAAGCTTATGATTTCATCTTTGACCTCTTTCATAGTCATATGCTCTCCGCCCTCTGCACAAACACATTCACACACACACACACACACATGGATGGATGGGTGTGTGGATGGGTGTGTGGATGGGTCTGTGTTGATGTGTGTGCTGCTTGACTGACCCTGTGCATTCTTGAGAGCGATCAGCATGTTGAGATCCTTGCTTCCGCGGCCCGATGCAGCAGGCGAGGCTGGGTCACCCTTGTGACGATACACCTCGTACACACGCTTGGTGGCCATTGCGTAGGCAGAGAGGTAGCGGATGTATCTCGGCGGCCAAAACCTGACACACGCCGAGAGGGAAGCAGACACATTCGTGGATGCCTGTGTGGTGTGGTATGCTCAATGCAACTCGCACCGTGCGACTGATGGCTCTGTGGCTCGATTATGGGCCTCTTCGAGGAACACGTCAGAAGCCCTACCAAGACAGACGCACAGGGACCCATGAATGTGTGCACGAGTGGCGCATCAGTGCTTCCGACCGACTCACTCACCGCTTGAATGCAAGAGCCGACCGCAACTGATGCGCGCACACATACACCCGTACAGGTGAGATTTCCCACTCGCATGCACATATATCCGTACCTCATTCGGCGTGAGTGCTTGTGGGCTATCCGGCGGCAGCAGCGCGCGCACAGAGTCAGCCTTCTCTAAACCGAAACCGATCGACGTGATGATGTCCAATGTGACCAAATTCAGGCACTCTTGCACATCAAACTGACACGACGCGACGCGACAGATACAAAAAGGAATGTGTGTGCATCAATGCACAGTCGTCTCATCTCTCCTAGTGCACGCACCGCTTTCGTTTTGACTTTGTCATTGAAGTGCTGGAGAAGAGAATCATGCAGCAGCGCGCTCTTCTCGTACAGTGTGGGCCCATACGCTGAACAGACGCCGCAGACACACACAAAGAAATTGCATCACATCTCTTCTCTCCTCTTCTGGCAACGGCAACGTTCACCTGCCAAAAACTTGTCGCTGAAGAGAGGCGCAATGAGCCGCCGATGCGTTTGCCACTGCCTCTCGTCCCCACGGAGGGCCAGCAAGCCTTGAGGGATGATCGTGTCGAAGCCCGTTCTTGGCCTGCTGTGGAAGATGTCTTTCTTGGCCTGCACTTCGCTGATAATGGCCGGGTCGGACGTGAACAGAAGGAACTCTGATGAAATCGGCAGGCAAGACAGTGAGCGCAAGGTCAGTCAGGCGGGGCAAAAGGCGCCCTCGGTACCTTGCTTGCCGAATCCAGGAAGGAACAGAGGCATGCGGACGCCCCATGTTGGACCAAGCTTGTCCGTTAGTTCCTGGACGCCCTGCGAATGGTTCATCGGGCTCCCAAACACCCTGAGCAAAGAAACGAACAACCGAGGCTGGCCTTTTCCCCAAGACACAGTCAGGGCGATTGCACTTCACCTGCGTGTGACGGGCAGCGCCGCCAGAATTGGGTGCTCTTCATCTGGTTGCGGTGTGTCCTGCCACAACACACACAGGCACACAGGGCATCGAAAGGCCGTCTGTCTGCCTGCCTGCCTGTCTGTCCGTCATCCACACACACGTACCTTGAAATGCTCCCTTCTGCGCCGATTCAAGTCCAGCAGATACGCATACATGGCAGCCACTGAGGCAGTCCCGCACGCTGCCACCAGAACCCATGTAGGGATCTTCACCTCACCAAGCAGTGCCCGCACGGCGTCGAGGAGAGCCGAGGGAGAGAGATCGGCACTCTTCATCATTGACCGTCGTCTCAGCGAGCAGATTGACAATCACAGAATCTGATGCCGTCGTCGTGCGGATCCGCCAGTCTTTCGTTAACGTTGTCTTCTACCGCCGATCGCTTCTCGGAGAGCTTTTTTTGTCATCAATTTCTGTGCAGATGCATGGGGCGCGGATCACAGTACACCATCCGCCTACTAGAATCAGCCCAATTTGGGCTTGGCGGGGATCGCGGATGGGTGCGAGCTTTTTGTCCCGGAGAAAGTCCCTAACATCAGTCCTTCCTGCTTCTGGACGTATCTATGACTGGCATCCGCTAAGATGCTGCGAATTCCTGTGCCCCCCAGTCCTTCGCCATCTCTCCCTTCTTCCCCCACCCAGCATCATGAAACTTCCGAGTCACTGCCGGCCGTCCACTCGCCGGCAATGAGTCCGAGGAGCCCTCGCATCAGCGGCCTCGTTTCAGCAGTTGCATCAGCGCATCGCATCGCAGGCGCCCCAAATCCACAAGCTGATGGACACCGACCGCTGTTGAAACGACAAGGCAGCACGCGGTCCAAGGCGAGCAGTGGGCAGGTAAGAGAGAAAGTCCAGTGCCGGTGAAGACCTTCCTGTTGGCCGTTTGCTTGTCTAGAATTTGGCCCTGCAACACCGAATTCTCGCGCTGACTAAGGACAAGAGCGCGACGCCCTGGGAATCTGACCTGCTGGCGACCATAGCGCATCGAGTGTGCAATGAACACGCCTTCTTGCCGTCATCATCTTCATCCGGTCCGCATCCAGCCCCTTGTTCCATTTTGGTTGCCTTGTCGCATTTGCTTGTTTGGTGCAGCTACGAGATCGTCAGCTGAGTCTGGCGAAGAGGGCCAGGTCAAGAAGATCATCGCACGACAAGCGACGACTGGCGCCTCTGAAAGGCCCAGCGGCTTTAGGAAAATCGATGCAACTGTGCTCGAGGAGGCAAAGACTATCCTGAGGTCAAAGGCGCCCGAAGAGAGAAGTCGTGACGACATTGAAGTCTTGTTCATGGTGAATGGAAAAAGGGTCACTCGTGAGAACTCTGACGATTTTTTTGTTTCTCTTCAAAGGTTGTCCGCGGCAATAAGTTCTTTCGTTCCTTGAGCGTGGCCGTGCGTCAATTAGTATGTCGCGAGCTGAGGTTTCTCGAAAAGCGAGAGCGGGAAGAGCTATTTCATCAGGGAGATGAAGGAGATGCATTTTTTCTGATTTTGAAAGGTCCGCAAAATGCAAATCAACCTTGCCATTATGCGTTTCTTTCGCCTTAGGCACCGTAGGTGTGTTTGCTGATTTGCCAAGGCAGAAAAAGGGCGATGATGAAGCGACCATGGAGGGAGAAGATATCCAAGCAGTGCTACACCCGGCAGCCAAGGAAGGCGAGAAGCATCTGGCTGATCTGAGTGAGGGCGATTCCTTCGGTGAATGGGCACTGATTCGGAACGAGAGAAGGGCGGCCACCATTCGGACTCTGTCTCCGTAAGTAAACGTGCAAATCGGTGCAAATCGGCCCTTATCTCCCGTCTCTTGGACAGATGTGAGTTTTTGTGGGTGTCCAAGGATTTCTACCAGTCTGTGCTGAAAGAGGCTCGGAGCCTGGCCGTCAAAAAGAGCGCTGCACTGGACATTATGAGATCAAGGTCCCCCCAGGACAGGTACGAGACAGAAAGAGAGATGAGGCATCTAGAAACCCCTTACTTCGTGTGTCACAGGGCAATGCAGGACCTGAAGCTTCTGTCTGACTTTTTGGAGACAATGTCTCCTTTCGACACTATCCCCCGATCAACCCTTTTGGAGGTCTCCAAGTTCGTGGGCGTGAGGTCCGTGAGCGAGCATGATGTGATCATAGAAGACGGTGCACAAGCCGACTTCTTCTATCTGCCGCTCAATGGCGTCCTGGGCGCGTATCGCTGCCTGAGCGGCGCCGGAGAGGAGGAAGGCACCGAGGGGGAAATCAGTCCGGAGAGTATCTCTGGAGCGAGGAAGGGCAGGGACAACGAAGGGGTGAGGTCTGCAGGGACACAATTGTGCACATTTGCGCAGATGTGTGGCCTGTGTGTGTTATTTAGGACCATGCTGACGCTGCGTCGAGTGTCTCTGGTGTATCGGCAGCCAGCGCTGCCGGTCCGATGCCATACACAGAGGAGGGAGAGCCAATTGAAAAATCCCTCGAGCTTATCACCCTACTAGAGGAAGGTAAGGCCAAGTCTTGACCGAATCGTTATCCAGGAATGCCTCCATCAGGCGATGCCTTTGGCGAGTGGGCACTGGCTCGAGAAGGCCCAAGGCTGGGATATGTGGTGGCCATTACGTCAGCTATCGTGTTGACGGTCGATCGAGTCACCTACATCAGGCATAATGCAAAATGCCCGAGACGCAGATGTCATTCCTCCTTCTGCTTGCAGGTATCTGCGTCACCATCGCAGCCGCCGGTGCTTGCTGGAGGCAGCTGAAGCACTACTCAAAAACAGGCTACCTCAACAACGAGGACCACCAGAGATCGAGCTTTTCGACAGCCTCGTAAGAGTTTGAGTGTCTCACTCACTCGCGAGAATCTACCTTTGCTTCCTTTCTCCAGATAGAGACGCGCCGCGTCTTTAATGCGCTGGGGCGCCGCACGAGACGAGAGCTGTGCAAAGTATTGCGGCTAAGGATCTTCGACAAAGGCGAGGTTCTATCAGAGGGAGGGCAGATCGGCGACACGTTCTTCCTCGTCCTCGCGTAAGCCGAATGTTCCTATACACAGATTGATCCCTGCTTAAGCTGCTTCTCAGTGGCCGAGCCGGTGTCTTCAAGCGTCGCAACTGGCGGGAGAAGTGGAAGGAGGCAGTACGAAAGATCAGCCGTATCCTCAAGCTGATGCCTCACGCCTTCGATCGCCCTCAAGTGACCACCGAGAGATCCTCTCAGAGAGCAGATGATGTCGTCACACACAGACGACGGTCTGTCGCTATCGATGAGAACAAGATGCGGGACTACAAAGGCTACAAACGTTTTGCTTCTGTCATCGGGATGGAGCAGAAGCAGGAGCAAGAAAGGCCAGAGGGTGACACTGAAGAAACAGCGCAGCAAAGGTCGGGCAAGCGCGTGTCCATCGATCCGATTGACGACATGAAGCATGTCGAGAGAGGGGAGAAGCGACAGTATGCCGAGAGGAGTCGGACGTCTCCATCTATCCATGCTGTGCGCCAGTCATCGACGAGAGGATCTCTCGTCTCTGCGCTCTCTGGGCCAGCAAGCGAAGGGACTCTCAGTCGGACACATGAGACAAGAGTGAGCCAAATGAGGCATGTTCTGTCTGCGTATCTCTCTCCTCACGTGAAAAACCTATATGCATTCAGGTTGGTCTCCAAGTCGGTGAGTATGAGGAGGGCGAGAGCTTTGGTGAGTGGGGCCTGGTGCAAGAGGAGAAGCGGCAGGTGTTTGTCAAAGTTGTTGTTGCGCAAGTCGAGATACTTGACCGACCTCCAGCCACTCAACGTGTCCGGCAGCATACCGGAAAGCTGCACACACAAACAACAATTGTGGACAGCGAGAGTGCGTCATTATGTTCATGTGCGTGTGTGTGCGTGTGTGTGTGTGTGTCTGTGTGCGTGTGTGTGTACCTGATTGTATGCGAGCGTGAGTTGTTGCAGCTTGCTGAGCTGCCCCAGCTCCGGTGGCATCGGGCCGCTGAAGCCCGGCCACTGCCTCTCCAGACTCAGAAACGTCAGGTTGGCCGCATTGCCCAGGGAAGCCGGCACTGGACCGGAAAACTGATGACAGAGAGAGAAACAGGCAGTTATTGACATACACAGGCATTCTCAAATACGCATCTGCGCTCAAGCTGGTTGTGCTCTGCCTACCCTGTTGAACGACACATCCAGCTGTCGCAAGTTGCCCATTTTGGTCCCCAGCCCGTCCGGCAGCGGCCCACTGAACCGATTGTTGGTCAGAAGCAGCACCTGCAGCCGCCTCAGCTGCACCAGCGACCGGGGCAGCTCACCACTCAGCTCGTTATTCGCCAGCGTCAGCTCGTCCAAGCGGGAAAGGGCGCCCAGGTCGTCGGGCAGAAGGCCCGAGAGGCCGGTGCCATCGAGCTTCAGTCGGGTGAGGTTGCGGCAAGACGTCACACTGGCGGGGAAGGTTCCGTTCATCTTCTTGTTGTCCCATATCTCGAGGACGCGCAGCCGTCTGAGATTGCCGATGTCTTCAGGGATGGGCCCTGAGAAGCTCGTAGATGTTAGTGTGAGGGCCTCGAGATGCGGTAGACTGGTGATGGAGGGTGGGATGGGACCGTTGATGGCATACATCTGCTGCTGAATGTAAAGGCCCTTGAGGTAAGGCAGCTCTCCGATGGTGCTGGGAAGCGGCCCTGCCAAGGGGCCCTGGTATGACAAACCGCACACACACAAACATGTGGGTGAGTGAGTCTGCGGATGTGCGTACGGGATGCAGCTCACCGCTCCCAACAGGAACAGGGCGCGTAAAAAGGTCACTTTGGAAAGCTCATCGGACAGCGTCGCTTGCATGGGCGCCTGGTAGGACCAGAGGCACATCACGTGCCGCAGCCGATAGAAAGCATCCGAAAAGACGATAGGCCTCCCCACTCGCTGCTGCAAGATCCACGGCACAACCGATATCTCTCGGTCGCCGGGAAACCCCGTCAGAACGATAAGGTAGCCCTTCCGCGGACCGCCGTCCGCCAGCGCCTCGCTCAGCCGCACGCACGTGATGAAGGGGACAACACACAGGTTGTCCTCAAAGATGGATCTTGTCTCATTGGGCGCCAACTCGGCGTCGTGAGTCCACTCAAACAATGCGGCCGCGTCCTCTTGGCACGAATCGCAGCTCACGAGCTCTTCCATCTCGGTGTAGGGGAGGATGTTGTCGCCTCGCTCCACTGCATCGGTCACCACATCTGCCGGGCGGAAGACGAGAGAGAGCTGGAGGAGCCTCAGCCTTTTTGGGTCACGCCAGCCTGGAGGGACATCAGGGGATGGATCCGTCTCATTGGCGGCCTGGAGGATCCGCTGCAGGGGCGAGGACGCCACCAGCGACGAGCAGAGGGCAAAAAAGACGACGGAGAGGTGAATCATCATCAGACTCGACTCATCTCTTCGCACCCATAGATGCGTCAATGCGATACGATGAGTCAGTGCATCTAGGGGAGAGTCGGATCTGCCGGAGGTGCGAGCTTAGATAGGCGATCGATGAGAACAAAGATTCTTCCCATTGCAGGCCTGTATTGGGTGGCCGCTGTGCTCAATCCCGCCCTAATTGTGCGCCAGCTGTGGATATTTCTCTCATGCGTGCATCATACTGCGTGCGCGAGTGTCGCCAGGGGCCAGGTGAATAAATGCAATTCGGCAGGCGGGGCAAACATTCAAGGCTCACATGTACCTTCGCCCATCTCTACACGACGAAGCGTGCCGCCAGGCTTCCGCTGACCGTCCGTGGCGCGGCAGGCAATGGGGGCCGCTGACACACAGGCGGTGTTTGTGGATGAGCTGCTCTCAACATGTAGATTCACAGACTCACAGACTGATGCATCCATCTTGGGATGGATCATGCAGGAGCCAAAATTGTCGGTGACATGGTTGAATGGACGATTGACTGGCTGCCTGCCTGCATGACGGATACTCTGCAAACATAGTAATGGGATGTGTACGCAGATGTGGACCACCATGGCAATCCACTAATACGCCAAGTCATGCAGCACGGTTGGTCCATTCATCCACTAAGTCGAGGCAGAAATCACACAGCTAAGCTAAGACAAACACGGCAAAAATTCTCCTCTTCACACACATGGATAATGGACCCTTCTCCGTCCGTCACTCTATCTCTCACTCTCTGGTTCTTAATTGCACCACTCAGCTACTGCCAGCCACACATTCGGCAGCTTAAAATGCCCCACACCCACAACCCCCAAGCTCCGTCTCTCTACTTCTAAACCACCAGTCAGTCGAGTGAGTCAGTTGATGCCGAGTATCACCCACTGGCCCCGCTCGTCGATGCGGCCCAGCTGCTGCCACTCACCGAACTCACAGTCGGCATTGCCCAAATGCTCGTTGAAGCCCTTGTCGATGGCCCCCTCCTCTATGTCGTGTCGGGCCGCCTCGTCCAGCCGAGCCCTGTGGACCACCTCACGCACACCCACACGCCCATGTGTGTGGACCACCTGGTGTGGGCAGCTGTCGGCCCTGATGGCGAAGCACTGCAGCGGCACCCGCATCGTCACGCCGCCCACATTGGACGCCCCGCCCACCACCTCCCTGTTGCTGCTCGCATATAAAGCCGACTTGACGAAGTGCTCGACGGCCGCACACACACGGTCGCCCATGACGCTATTGCGAATGGTCAGTGTGCTCGTGATGGTCTCATTGGCGGCCCGCATGTTGAAGCACATGGCGGTGATCTTCCAGCCGATGGCCTCTGCCTCGTGTGGGCCGCATGAGAGGGGGGAGGGGGCGGGGTCTTTGCCGTCGTTGTGCTCGACCAGCGGCAGCAGGTGCGTTAGCAGAGCAGCCAGCGATCGCTGAGGAGCGAGGGCGGCATTGAGAGCCGCCATCGCCCCGGTGTGCACGTCGTTGATGAGCACGTTGTGTGGACCGTCCATGGTTTACACCGTGTCGGAAGGGCCGTAGGGCACCGGAGGCAGGGGGTACGGCAGAGGCACGCCGATCACAGGCACGTCAGGCGGACCGCTCGGGCACCGAGCCGTGGCCGCATACATACGGGGAAGGGAAGAGGACCCTGAGGTGCACACAGGCAGGCCAACACCCACACGTCACATAGGCAGCACGCGATAGCGTCTGTGTCGACCGACCTGTGTTATCGCTTTTGTGCCACACGAATGACCGCATCGGAGTGGCGGCACTGCTGCTGCCACTGGAAGACGATGCGCCGGCCGGCTGTGTGTGTGGGGTGGTGTGTGGTTGGGGCGGGGTGAGGCCACGGAGTGTGTGTGGCGAGATGAAGATGCCCAGCTCGTATGACCGGATGAACAGCTTGGAGTGGTTGCTCTGCAGCTCACCCTACGCCGCCTGCATTTGTGTCACACACATCACACAACAGGATAGTGCGAGAGAGACGACGTATGCCGTATTGGCTGTTGGCTCACTCACTTTGCTGAAGTTGTGGCTGCCGACATATATCCACGCCACCTCCCGGCGCTTGCTGACGTCACCCGACCGACGGCCATACCTAAAACACAACAGCGACATACACACACACATTGGCTACATGTGTGCGACTCACTCACTTGAGGAACGTGTCGAGGTGGGGAGACGCCGACGTCCTGTCCGGCGGATGGGGGATGGCGGCGCCGCAGCATGCCCGCTCGCCGTTGGCTTTGTGGAGGCCCCATCTGTGCAGGAGGCCCTCTGGGAGTGGCGTCGTCGTACCGACCCTCATGTCGGCGATCATCAGACGCTCCTCCATGACTTGCACTTCCCTAAGAGGGTAGAACCAGACATCCATGTGACGTGATATGTGTTCAGTGTAGACCAGATTTATCCTATGCTTACTTGTCCGCCGCCCATCCCTCCAGCGAGGTCCGCACCTGCACGCAAAGCGACGACACACTGAGAGTGAGTCTTCACACGTTCATCTCTTTGGTGCGCATGAGCTCACCTCGTCTATGGTCGGGAGGATGAGCCGCCAGGTAAGTGGCTGCCTCCAGCTCAGGGTGGGATGGGCACTCGCACAAACTACCTACAATCACAAGTCAGAAGGCAACAAAAAACGGGATGAGTCGGATGGATGGATACACACACACACACATGCAGAGCTGGAGCTGTAGTTGTGTGTGGTGACCGACCGATGAACTCCTCTATCCAGTTTTCCTCGAGACTGTCGAGCAACGCCACTTGACACACCACAGCGTGGCTGACAGACGCACGACATAAACAAAATACGTGCACACACAATAGATATCCGTCACAAAGCGGCCGGACATCATAGTGGTGCAGTCGCCATGCAGTCTGCTCACTCTTCCAGGCCCTTGGGGCCTGGCTGGCCACTGAGCAGGCGGCGCATCCGCATGTGGCCCCACCGATGGACATCCGAGCCCGCGTGGCTGCCCTGCGTGTGACACAGCAGCACGTGTTGGATGAGTGCGGTCATGACCCCGCCCTCTCTGTGTGGCTCACCGGCACAGACGCGACTATCTTGCCAATGGCGGTCGAGTAGTCGAACTGGCGAATTTTGTCACACCAGCCACCCGCCTTGGTGGTTGCACGAAGGAAAGCCGCCAGCTGATCTGAACACACAGCGTTGAATACACATGGGGATGGCCGCATTCCATCAGTCAGCCTCACCTTCCATGTCTGTCGACGGCTGGCTGCCCTGCTGCAGCTTGCGGGGGAAGTCCTGCACATTGATGATCTGGTTCTTCCTCCACCTACACACACAACACACACAGGTGACCGTTTCACCCACACACGGGCCTCTTCGTCTCCTCTCTGCCAACCAGTCGCTGTGCGTGAAGTTGGCTGACGAGATGCACACGCGGATGCGGTCCGCATACGTCAGGAAAATCAGCTTGGGATGGAACCGGCCATGCTGATCGGTCAGCGGCACCGCCTCTACCGTCACGGCCGGCCCATACGACGATAGATCATTCGCCGCCTCCACAAGCAACCGGAGCCTCTCCTCTGACCACATTCACATCCACACACCGCATGCACCCACACAGAAGTGGCATGCAGATTTGCTGGGCTCAGTCACCTTTGCTGGGCTGGTCCTGCGGGTCGTCTGTCCGTGGGTCGCCGGTGAGTACGGCGATGCGCCGGATTGTCTTCATCACGGGACACTCATCCACCAGCCACGGCTGACACAAGGAGGAACAGAACCAGTGTGCGCTGACTGCCTGTTCTCTCTCATCTCACCGACCAGGTCAAATCTCGTGCTGGTGAGCAACATCTGCAAAAGGACAACACATCAAGGAGCCCATTGCAGCAACGCCCAGAGGCTCATTCAGGCACCATCTGCCAACCAACGCACCTCTTGCACGGGCCCATCGACAACGTCCCGAATGCTCAAGCAGCCCTCGTTCTCCTCCCCATCGCGCCCGTAGTCGACTATCGCGTTGAGGTAGAAGGGCTGACACCGCCACAGCCACGCAGTACGACACACCCTCGCCTTCTTGGGAGCGGGCCCTAGTAGGTCGGACGCTTCGTCTTGGGCGAGATCTTGCGAGTTTCCGGCAGATGCGTCATCTGTGAGGTCTATCCGCATCTTGTCTTTTAAGAATCATCACACCTTGTGATCAACTTTCGTCGGTCAAGAATATAGGTGGCTTACACGGAAGCATGGGCGACCAGTACGGCTGATCTAGAGTCTGTATGGATTTGCGCACACGCAAAGACACAGGCACTCGCAGAAGCACATGCGCACCATACGACATGAATGACAGCAGCACTCTGACATGAACCAAACAGCCCATCAAACATAGTCACAGAATCGGAGACAAAATCCCGCAAACCCTACTTTTTTCAAGTGCTTCTTTTTCCCATTAACGAGTCCGTCCTTCTGCACAGTTCTCTGCCAGCTGTGTTCATCGCCACTGGGCTGGGAATGAACCATCCCCATCTGGGTGCAATTCGCCAATTTATGGGCAGTGCTGCTCGGTGAGCCTATGTATATTGCGACAGTTCCAGCCTTGGGGCGGCAGCAGCACACGGGCGCAGAGCTTTGGAGACCCACAGGCAGGCGTGGATGGGTGTGGATGGATGTGACGCACCGTTGCACATGGTGATGTGGTGTGTCCACTGCGGTGCGTTCAGGTCCGCGAGTGGGCCTGGTCTGCCCGGCGGTACATAGAATCAACTACACCAACACATAATGGCCTCATGTGAGGCCTGTAAGGGCCTCGGGTGATGAAGTCCTCCGCAAAAGCACTGGTCTTAGCAGGTCCCCTCGCGGTCACTGCTCTCTGAAAGCGGTTGGCCACCTGGAATGCATGGTACTTCATCAGCTTCACCATAGCTGGCTCCAATGATTACTGGCGCTCTCTCGCAAAGATACATCTTCGGATGCTGGGATGGCCGAAGTGCGTGGTTTCCTCTTGGCGAGCGTCTTGAGAAAAGCAAGCATGGCGGACGCCCAGCGGCTGAATGTATCTGCAGCAAGGGGGACAAAATGGAAGCCTCTGGCTTGGACAATGGGGCCGATGAATGTCTCTGTGCAGACCCCTGCGCATGCACGTGCGCATGCAGGTGTGGACTTGGAGTGTTTGTATATGATTAACGTCTGTGTGCGCACCTCTGCGCATGCAGGTGTGGACTTGGAGTGCGTGTATATGATGAATGTCTTTTTGCGCACATCTGCGCATGCACGTGTGGCCTTGGAGTGCGTGCATATGATGAATGTCTCTGTGCGCACATCTACCGACACCTGCGCATGCGCCTGCGCATGCACGTGTCGACTTGGAGTGCGTGTATATGACGAATGTCTCTGTGCGCACACCTACCGACACCTGCGCCTGCGCCTGCGCATGCACGTGTGAACTTGGAGTGCGTGTATGTGATGAATGTCTGTGTGCGCGCACCTGCGCAACGACTGACATATCTAAGCTACTCAACAGTCTCGCGGGCAGAGGTGGGCTTGAATTTTGAGGTCGATGCAGGCCCAATGATCATCACTGTCTGCAGTTACCGAAGGAACGTCATTCGCGACACAGAGACAGAGACACGGATCCACTGATTCATGCGTAATGTGTGTCTCGTTGAGAATTTCTTTCCTGTTGCACGATATCGAGTGAAGACATTTTTGCCGGGAATATTCAACGTCGAGTCATCAACAGACAGGCTTATTGACTGGAGTCAGTGAATCAGTCTTGGGAACTTGCCGGAATCTGTGCCACTTGAGCTGACAACAGTGTGCGCATTCAGATCCATGAAGACTTCCAATGAACAGACGACATGTCTCTCATCGATGCAGTCTGCTACCCCCAATGTGCCACTTTTCCGATACCTACATACGAGATACACATAGACAGACAGACACAGAGAGAGAGAGAGATGACTGACGGATTGTGGCGGTTGGGCGAGCCTTGGTTGCTGTACAAGAGGGGGTGAAGTGATCGTCAGACAGTCGGGATGGTGCTGCAGAGGGAGAGAGAGGGAGGGAGGGCTCGGTAGCTATAGATGGATGAACGAGTGCGTCATCCCGGTCAATATGGCTGTCTCAGCGAGGGCTCATCAGTCGTGGTTGAGGCGCAATGAGTTCCATTAGCTCCTCTAATGACGGTCAGATCTCGAGATCTTGGCCTCGTGCTGACAAACGGTGAGCCGCATGTTGTTCAGGACGCTATCCCGGTCGTTTTGGTATCAAAATCATGCTTGCAGGGTTCTTGGGTGTCGGGTTTTGAAAACCCTTGACCCTAATCGACGCGAATCTCGACGGGTTCGACGAGTTCGGGGCTGATCCTTTGTGTGTGCAGCGCTGGGCAGCCCGGTCGTGCTGCACACACAACCATAGGGACGCACGTTACCGCCCAAAACCACCTAGGGGTCCGCCTTGATGCGGGGCGGCCAGGTCAGGCCAGGTACATGAGTATGTATGTGCTCGAGTCGAGGGCCGCCATTCACCCACCCACCAGTGTGCAGGAAAGGAAGGACTAGAAAACAAAGCGCAAGCACGCATCGCGATGGCTGGCTTGGTGGCCGTCTGTCTGTCTGTCTGTCTCATCCATCGATTGTACGATCGATGTCCCTCCCCCTCTTGCATGCCCAACGCGCAAATGCACCAATGAAGACACCCCCTCTCCCTCTGACACCCAGGGATGTATGTATGTCAAGCCTAGAGCCCGTTGCCCTACTATTAAACTCCGCATGCATACATCCGTCGTTTGGCCGACTGACAGCAGCGGAGATAGACCACCAATGCATTGGTGGGATCAGATCATTCACAACCACACACCACCACATCATAGAACAGAAAGGTTACATGAGCGCCATGCCATAGCGTACACGGAAACCTCTCGCATCGTATCGCAGCGAGAGGGGAGCCAGCCAAGCCACACCAGACACGCACACACATGTCCTGTACGCACTCGTCCATCCCATACATGCCATGCAGTCAGTCAGTCAGTCAGATTGATTGACTGATCTCTCTCTCCCATCCCGGGCCGCGATGGATGGATGGATGGATGGATGGATGGATGGCCCCATTGAACCAACAGTCAATCCCGCAATCAATGATCCATTGCATTGAGCTCTCGTCCTGGGTAGTCCATTCCTAGATAGCATAGCAAGCACTACACTGTCAGTCTGATCCACTGGCCGCTCAGTCAGTCAGTCAGTCAGTCAGTGTACCCCCCCGCTCACACCCTTTGATAAAGCAGACCTGTCAGCACATACACACGACTACACACACGGTGACTGTCCAGACAGACAGACAGACCGAGAGAGGGACGCCCATACCGTCAGTCAGTCAGTCAGTCGATATCTCATAGCTGGCCCTCACTATAATTATCGACACAACCCAATGCAATCAATCTGTCAGTCAATGCAATCAGTTAGTCCGCCTCACTTAAAACCCACACCGCACCGTGTAGTATTTATCCTCAACCCATTGACACACATCCCAGAGAGAGACACCATACCCGACCCGACGCCAGCGAGAATGATCGTGGACAAAGAGAAGAGATGGCACGTACGATACGAGATGGTGAGTGGCTTTGCGGGTGGGTGTTGACACACACGGCGAAAAATAGCGCGCCAGATGACTCGTGTCATGTCTGGCCGCCAGAGTGCACGTGAATGAAGGCAAACAGACAGACAGCTGGACGCGATAGACATGGAGATGGGCATCTGACCCGTCCGCGGGGGTGTGTGTAGGGGGGGG